TGTTTCTATTCTTATAGAGTTTTTATAGATTTCTAAATGTTTCTATTCTTTAAATGTATTTATGTTATGTTTTTATCCCGTATATATATTATTTACGTAGATGATTATGCAACATCCTTTACATGGAGATAAATTTCTTACGATTAATTAGAAAAATGCTTTTTCCAATTAATAATGAAATATCTTATACCTGCAGACACGCTAGAATCATCTTGAATTTTTTATTTTTGTAGAGCACAGACAGAAGTAAAATAAAAAAAACAAACAGATATAACACAATAACAAACACAAATAAACTATATTTGAAACTTTAATGTTCTTTACATTTTAGATGTTAAAATTTTATTTTTTTGAGGCTTTGTCTGAGGTTTGTTTATTATTTCAGCGATGTGAGATGAATAAAAAGATGTACATAAATAAAAACTTGTGCAAATATTAAAAAATATTTTTCTGCAAATTTTGCAAATATTAAAAAATTTTTTCTATGAGAAATAAAATTTATCTTTACAAGCTGCAGGTACATGTACAGCAGCATGTATACGGTACTGTCAAGCTCTTTGCAAAAACCAATAACCTCAGCGTGCGTCGGATACTAGTAGTTTATGGCCACTGAATGCGCGTATGCGAGAGAACAAGAGAAAGAGAAGATCAGAGAGAAGAAGAGGGATAAATAAAAACGGTTGGGGATGCAACCGAAAATGCGAGTGAAAGACATGATAGAAAAAAAGAAGACGTGCCACCGTTTTTGAAAAACGTGGATGAAAAACATTGCTTAACATTTAAACATGTGTTTTTCAGCTACTTCATTTTGTAATGATTATCAGATGATCGAAATCATATCAGAATACAACAGATTAATCATAACTTGCAGACAAATAAAATTAACTTTTGTTTCCTGAATGCATAGAAGTTTTTCTTTTAATTAAGGATTTTATAACGAAATAAAATTTTGTTTGTTATTAAAGAAAAATATGTACAAGATGTCTTATAATGCGTGAATTATCCTTTGGATGCAAGCGATAAAGCGATTAAACTGAGAAAAGTCTTTTACGATTTTGCAACTTTTATAATAATTAATGAGAAGTTAATGTTAAGTTATACGAATGAATATGCATTTGATGATAAAAAAAGCGACAAGAAGAGAAATCTAACATTATACGTTATTCACAATTGCAATCGTTTGTAGAACATCCTTACAAACGTCTTGTCATGTTCTTAGCAACCGTGACAAATATGTTATACTTTTTTTCCTGTAAATGCATATATCCTATAAATTTTTATTAATTATTTTTTCATTAATTAATGGAAAAGGTAAATTGATATATAGAACTTTTTTACTCAATTTAACTTGCTTTATCATCCATGAAAAATGAATTTTGAATTATGAAACATCTATGTTTTATTATACAGAGTGTTCCATTTGAAACAATTATATAAAAGTTTTTTCATCATTGTTTTAAATACAATTATATAATATTAGTACAACTTATACATTTCAGTTATACATTAATGTAATTACAAGATTACAAATGACTTTTACAAATTTATTTTGCACGAATATGTTGAACATATTTGAAGTATTTAGCTAACATTCATTTTTAAATTAAAAATTAATAATATTCTTGTACGCAAATAAATTTTGCAAGACAAATTAATTCATAATATAAAAATTAAAAAATTTGTAAAGTTCCATCAAACATCTAATTGAATAAAATTAATTTACTTAAGAATTATGGATGATTTCTATGAACAGTTAAAGAGAGAATAAATAATAAACATTTTTTTAAATATAATCAGAGATTTTTACTTTAATCGAATAGTTCAAATAATTGAAAGACACATTTTTTCGCATTATATTTTTGCTTTATGGTTTATTTCCGCGATGTGATGCACGTAATGCATTTTTCGATTACTCAGCATCCAGCATCCGAAATTTCCCAGCCCTTTTACATTGCTCTCTTTCTTCCCTTCCCACCATCATGCTCTTTCCATACGCATGGGCACGCAGTTGGTCACATTCGTTCGTCCACATATATCGACTGAAACGCGTCGCGCGCGAGCGACGTCTGTTTCCGCATTTTAATACTTCGCGCGGATCAATTTGGTTAAAATGGCGCCACCCACTGCTCGCTGCACGACGCTTTTTACCATTTTTATTCGCACTGTTAAAAGCCTATTTACATGTTATATTGCCAAATATTTTGTCAACGGTTTTTAGGATGGATTACATTAGTAAACAACTTAATTATTTTGTAAAATATGTCAAGAATTTATTGGACGAGTTTCGAATTCTATATAAAATTTTAATATTTTTAGATGCTTTGAAAGTAAAATTAAAATTTTTGAATTTTTATTTTTTGATATCTTAAATTACAAAGCAGATTAGGAACTTTATTTTAATTCTTGAAATTTGTATTTCTTGATATTTGTATTTATGTACTAATCTGACACTTATAAAACGCAACTGCTATTAAATAGACGAAGATGTTTAATAACTTTTTAAACTTATTTATTATTTTATTTGATGAGTTATTCAATTTTAAACTAAGACATTATTATGGAGACATCATAAGCAGTATTATATTGTATATAATATGTATATAATATGTATTGTAATATCATATTGTTAATATCTCCGTTTTGGTTACTTTTATGTGATTATGATAATTGATGTCATGCATATAACTATAATTATTAAATGGTTATGGATGCATCGAGACATCAATTATTATAATTGTACTAATATTATATGATAATATTTCATATCGACATCTCGAGCTTAGGTAATTAGATAACTTTTACAATACATATATATTTAAATTTTGAAATTATAAAGTATCTTATATTGCTATGTCTGTATTTAGATATTAAAATTATAAAATAACTCTTAATGCTTGATATATACATCAATTTATTTACATGTTGTAATCATATATTATTTCATGTTTTAAAGTTTTTTTAAAGTGAATATCAAATTTTTTCTTTTGAAGCGATTTGTAAAATATTTTTAATGATATACGATGTCTTTTAAAATTTGCGTCAATGGTAACAAGAAAAGCTGTAATTCAATATTGTTATCGAAAATGTAAGAAGAATCCAAGTCCTTCAAGGACTCTACATTTCTATACAATTTTTGTATATTTTTGGCTAAAAAATTAAAAAAATAAAAAATGATAAAAACTTGAGAAGAGAATAAAGAAATTCTAAGAAAACAATGAGCCTTAAGAAAGATGATCATGAAACTTAATATTTTAGAACATAAAGATGATAGAACAAGTTTAATTAATTGTAATCGATGGATTGTTATAGATAATTGTAATTGTAAAGTTATATAGATTTTCATTCAAGAGAAACATAGATAATCTTTGGATATAGGTAATCTTTGTTTTGTAAAAATAATTAACAAATTGTTTCAAACTCGTACTACAAATTTATGATCCCAGAAGATGCCAGAATGTGAAATATTATGTAGAAACGGGCAACATCTAAATATAGTTATATGATCCATAAAGACATCTCATTGCATTTTCACCTTAAGCGACACGAAGGTACAACTGGTGCAGGACTAATTCCCAGAGACAAACATTTTAATTATATAACCTTGCCACGTATCTACGTGTTATATTATCACATTAAATGCGAGCGTTACTTATCATATCCTATTATTCCATTATTTTTGCATAGAATTGTATTCAAGAAGCTATAAAGACTGTTTAGGAAAACTCATTTACGAAATTATTTTGTATACATAGAATGTTTAAAAATAAATGTTAATTTCTCTTCTAAGTTTTTAAAACTAATTAAAGAATTAATAATATGGACTGTTTTTTTATATTAGAAAAATAAAATGATATTCTTTTGTTAAACATGCTTTCGATCTTTTCAAAATTTGGTGAGAACTATGAATTCTTGATTTCATTTGTTTTGCAGATTTCTGAAAGTTCTCTTGTTTTATGAACTAATGATCTCTCTAACCAAACATTTTATTCTGGAAATTCATTAAAACTTTTAGAATTAATTAAAAACAAAGCATATGGAGTACGAATTAGTTGAAGTTATTACATATACGTGTGTGCGTGCACGCACGCACGCACGCACGCACGCACGCACGCACGCACGCACGCACGCACGCACGCACGCTACGCACGCACGCACGCACGCACGCACGCACGCACG